AAAAAAAAAAAAAAAAAAAAAATTCCTATATCATTTGCATGGGTAGAGAAAAGTATAGACAGGCTTGTTCAGAGAGGCATGAGCTTTCCTAGGCTACTATGAACACTTGTGAGAAGCTCAGACCCCTCTGAGCAAGTTTGCTTATAAAGGTTCCACCCTGCCCTGCCTTCTTTCACAGAGTTTACATTGACCAGCTGCATCAAACCAAGAGAGACCTATGCTTTGTCCCCACTTGGATTTTACATTGGAATAAGTATCTTGGTGTGCATACACTTTTTGCGATAAAGATAGCACCTACAAATTACAGTCACTCCCTTTTACAGGGAACAAGAAACTGTATTAGAATAAAGGAAGTTTCTCTTTGATAGAATTCTCTTCCTGCTTCTTAAAAGAGCTTCTGCCTAGGATGTTCACTCCAGCCTGACCCAAGAAATGCTGCATTTAACTTCACTCATGTGGACCTTGCATGGTCACATATTTTGGACAGGTACAGGAAAGGCAGAAGTTTGAAGGGAAGGGAATTATCCCAAATTATGTAGTAGAAGGAAGAAAAATAAACTCTGCGTGCTAGTAGTGTAAAGGGACATTGATGAAAGTGAGATTCAGGCCTCTACAACATATTTTACAATTGTCATTATATATTCATGTACCAGTATGCCTTTCTTGGCTTCTAACAGAGGGGTGGCCAAAATTCCTGACCATTCTAGCTGCAAACCAAAAATTGACACAGCCAAGAGCCATAGGAAACAAAAACTTTAGAGGTGTACATGTGCCAGAGTTAGTGATCTATTCATAGCACCCATACTCCAAGAATACTGTAATGTTAAAATGACCACTTAAAATAAATAAGCAAAAATTAAAATCAAAAATAGAAAAAAAAAGTTAAGAGAGTATATTTATTGAACTAGTTCTCTCATCAGGAGCAATTCTTAAATTGCTCAAGAACTACATGCTGCTCATGAGCCACGTTTTGGTCACCTAAACCAGGGGTGCTCAAACTCTGGCTTCTGGGCTGGTTCTGACCCTCAGCACCATGTGATCTGGCCTGCATGGCTCCCCACAGATCCATGGGGAGCCTTGCAGGCCAGGGCCCGATTCAAGCATGCAAAACAGGGCAGAAGCATTGTGGACCCTGATCCTGGAGCACAGAGAACACATGAATGTTGGTCTGGAAGGGACTCCCGAATCATCCAGTCATCTACTGTCATCACAGCAGCTCATCACCATCCCTTTCATAACATTATCAAGACTATTATTTTAACTAATTTTAAACTACTCCTATTGGAAGATTAGTGCTTCTATCCGCCAATGCTCAGAAAGCTCCTTTTTTGGACTGAAATGTATTCACGGCTAGCTCATACCCATTAGTTCTTCTGGCCAACGCCGTCTTCTAGCTTTAATAGTCTTTTCTCCATCTGGTGTTTACTGCCTAATGTATTTACAGAGAGCAATCATATCCCGCTCAGCCTATTTCACTAAGCTAAACAAACCAAGCTCTTTTTGCCTCCTCTCCTAAGAAAGGCTTTGCATTCCCCTAAAGAGGCATGAAATTAATGAAGCTAACTATGCTTACGTGTGCGTATGAAACCAGGCTATGAGTAACTAAAGGACACCCAGCCAGTAAGTAACTCAGAACTGCATAAGTTGAGCAAATGAAGTGTCATTAGTTTTACATATGCATGGCACTTTTCATTCCAGGGAATCCTGAAACATTTTACCAAAATCTAGGCACTTCTATAATGTACAGCAGGAATTCATTTATTTGGACATGGTAGAATTTGGGAAGGGAAAATTAAATCTAAAAAGGATGAATTTATAGGTTAAGGCATAACAAAATAAACAACCCAGAGACACATCCTAATGAGAGTTAGTGCTCATGGGGAAGATGGGGAGTTCTGGTTCTTGCGGTTAGTTAATTTGGCTGTATAAACGAGGACAGGTTGAGAGATGTGTTACACAAACCATCTCATCAAAAGAACCTAGGTCACCCCTCATCCTCCACAGGGCCAAATATGGGAAGCAACATCTAAATCCAAATAAGGGAGCTACACAGAAAAGTTTCTTAGTACTGGAAACTGAAAATGCTGAGACATCCTATCCTTTATGAAAATAACACTTTTCTTTTTAAGTGACCTTAATTTCATGCTTCTTTGTAAATTTTCAGCCACAGAAGCAAAGGGACAAATCGGTATGTAATCCCAAATTTCCATACAGTGGTCCAATGAGGAACATTTCTTGGCAGGAAGAACATTGGAGGTACATGTCCCGAGCATCAGAAAGGTTTGCTTTAAGTTTAGGTATCAAAATTAATTCATTCATTCGAGGCATGCCTCAGTTTCTCTCCTCCAAACTGACAATAATAATGTCCACCTCTCAGAGAGATAGAAACATCAAACCAAATTACATTTGCAAAGCCCTTAAAAGGTATCTGAACAAGAAATGGTATATAATTTCAAGGTATTATTACACTTTTGCCATACAATTCCCAGCAGATGCTGTGTCACTTAAACCATAACTCTCAATAGGGATCATCACCTAACTGTCAGAGCAGGAAGTTGGGCTCTCAACAATTATTTTGGTGCCCAAATAGATAAGCCAGATTTTCAAAAAGCACACTAGACACTGAATATTTTGAAAACTGGGTCATAAGCATCACAGTGGGTGCTACACATTTTGGAAGTCTCTTATTTAGGTGATTAAACAGAAACTGAGCTCAATGGAAAAAAACAGGCTCTGACTGCATGGGCTGAACACTATCACTACATGACTAACACAGCATCTGAAATGGAAGTCCTATCGGCTGTCTGAAAAGAGACACAGCCGTATTTCTTGTAACTGTTTGCCTACCTAAGAAAACAAAAGGCTGATTTCATCCTGCTGGGACAGGAACTTGTGGCTCCATGGCACAGCAGTTTTCAAACCACAGCCTGTAGTTGTAATCCATCACCTCTGTCTAACAATGAAGTGATGAATGCAGACCTGTTGCCTCTAGCAAACTCCTTTGGTAATACTCTACACTACAGCTAGCATAACTGTAAGCTTCTCTAGCGATCCTGTTTCCTTCATCTTGTCCCATAAATTCACAGATTATTGAAAAGTAACAATTTAATATGTGCAACCAAAATGTGAGCTAATTAGATGTCCCTTTTCACCATGCACAGCTACTCTTGGTTTAGTTCTATACTACATTTATATAAAGGAAGGCAAGATTTTTTTGGTAGATGTGATATCTTTTATTAAACCAGCTAAGTAGTTGGAAAAAAGTTCTTTGCAAGCTTTCAGACAAGCACCTTTCTTCAGGCATAGGAAGGGTGTTTGTGCCTGAAAGCTTGCTAAGTTTTTTCCAACTACTCGGTTGATCTAATAAAAGACATCACATCTATTCAAAGAAGCTTACCTGCCTATGTCCTTAAACCATGGCTACCACCAAGAACTGCAGCATATGCATACACACATATTCATTTGAACATTATATCAAGGAAGTGTCAAATATTTTTACAATAATACTCTTTTAAAACCCTACAATACAGGTGAGGTAAGTGAAATCTGGATCTGATATAAAGGGGAGAAGTTTGCTGTTAAAAATCAAGGGGGAAAAAAAAAAAACTACCTTTCTGAATCTTTATGATTTGTCATAATCTCCCAACATATTTTTTTTTGGAAAAGCAAAATGTCTTTGAGCTTTGTTAGATACTTGTTATATATTTTATACTTTTGGAAGGCTACTATTAACTTGGAAGTCTGCTGCCCCCTCATTACAAACACTAGCTAAGGCTACTGGAACTGAAGGAAGTTACAGAATTTGCATTTTTAACTTGTTTACACTGTGAATGTGACCGGACTTGAGGCATCACCAAATTCTTTGTACTTTTATATAATCAGTTGCTCCCCAGCTGAAGAGGCATTTCTAAAGTATTAAGCAAGCAAAACACAAACTCTATGGGAATCATTTCGATTCTCTGAAAGCCAAACCATGCTATTTGCCACGAAGTCTAAAAGCACCGGTGATTTTAAAACACAGAGGTTTACAAGTTCTGTTCGTGCTGCCCCTCCACACCTCACTTGTGCTTTTTCCCCCCCACACAGTGATGAAGTATTTCCTATCAAACAGTGCTCTCGCTTTGCATTGCTGAAGTCCTAGAAAAGACACAGCAACAATGTTCTCCAACATCCTCGGTGCACGAGCCCCAGCCCGGCCACCAGCAGAACAAACGCTCGAGCTCGGCTCGCCCAGCCCCTGCCTCCCTCCCTCCCTCCCTCCCCCGGCGCAGGAGTAACACCCAAGCCCTGGGGACGCCGCACTCACTCCGCAGAGCTGGTCCCATTGACGGTGGAGCCATCCGGGGTCGGGTTCAGCTGGATTGGCATCGGCTTCTTTTTCGGCATGTTTAAATGAACAGAACGCGAGGCTTAAACTACTAAGAAACCCTTTTTCCCGATGCCGATCAGATAAAGAGGACTCCCTTCAGCTGGGCAAACTTAGAGGCTCCCCCAGCTTGGAGGCGGTCTTCGCTGCTAATCAGTCCGGCGCGCCTCCCCCTGCTCCGGATTGCTCTCCGGCTACACGGGAGCGTGCCCCTTCCTCAGCTGCTCCTGATCGCCCAGCTCCAAAGGCCTCTTCCCGAGTGAGCTCTGAGCTGCTCCGCGATGCAAGTGCCCTGGATCAAAATGTGCCCTTTTTCTGCTACTGTGCATGTGCAAACTTCTCGGGCGGCGCTAGTGCGCAAGTGTGCAGAGCCCGCTCATGTGCACTGGGGAAGTGAAGCTGCACTGAAGTCTTGCCCTTACCTTGTCCTTTGCCCTCAGTTTTACTTCCCGGGGAAGGCGTGGGGCCAGTGGAGTTGCTTAATGGCAGATCCTTTCGGCGGGCCGTGGTGCCGCTGCTCTCATCCACGTCCCCTTCCTCCTGGCCTAGTTCAAACTGCAAACCGCAGGGCCATGAGGGTGGAAACCAGCACAGAGCCAGGCAGAGGGAGAAGTGAGAGGAGGAGGAGGCTCGCCCCTTGCCGACTGCTCTGGACCAGAAAGCACCGGACGCTGACAATGTCTTCTGGCTTTAAAGACGGATTATTTTGGCGCTAATAGTTTGACATTTAACAAGCGACTTTGCAATATTGAGGTTTGCAAAGAGACAGCAGGAAGCTTGTAGGACAGTTTGGGTTTCCCTTCTGTTCGGCTATTATGCACTCAGGTCATTTGATAGAGACTTTTCTTAGGGCCTGGTGCCCCCGCTGCGTTCTGTAGGTTGCCTTTTTTTCCCAAAAGAAAACCAATGCACTTTTTGTTCCCTCTTGTGAAATAATTAATGGATCTCATGTATTGCAACTCCAGTGGACAGTGTCACTTCCAACATCTGTACGTCATCTCAGTGACTCTTGGACAACACGTCACAAGGACAATGCTCTTAGCGTGTGCCTCATTGTTGAAGGCACGTGTCATTTGAGCGAGTGTTGGTGGTAGCTGTGTGGCTCTAAGGACTAGGCAGACAAGGTTCTGTGGGTAGAAGTGATGTCTTTTATTAAACTAACTGAATTGTTGGAAAAAATGTTCATTGCAAGCTTTTGTGCCCAAAAGCTTGCAAAGAACAATTTTTTCCAACAATTTAGTTGGTCTAATAGAAGATATCACATACACCCAAAGAACCTTGTCTGTCATTTGAGCTATGCAACTGTGAAGTGGGCAGAAGGATTTTACTTTTAAAATACTGTTAACCTTTTGTGCCACTGAGACTCCGTCTATCTAGGAAAAGGTGCATTTTAACACGTTAGCTAACACATACTCATATGTTAAAACCCTAGCTTTCCTGTGTTAGCTGGTGTGAAGTCAGTGGAACGATGCCAGTTGGTAACAGCTAAGGATCTAGTCAGGAGGGCGTACAAGAACATTTTAGTTTTCATATGTGTTGCCTGTACACAGTAAACCCTAGTAAAGAATTTAGGGTGGGCCTCAACTGGCCAACACTATTGGTCGTATTGCACTAGAGCAGGGGGTGGCAATGTTTTTGGACAGAGTGCCAAAAACACCCACAACCTCGATTTGCAAGGTCTTGGCATGCCAGGGGTGAACAGTGGCAGGGCCTGATCCTTGTTGTGGCAGTGGAGCCCCCAGCCTCTTCCCCGAGGTGAACATACCAAGCAAAATGCCTTTGCGTGCCACACTCTGGCATGCATGTTGGGGGTTGCCTACTCTTACATTAGAGCCTAGGACCCCTAACCATGGACTAGGACCTCAAAGTGGCATGGCATTGTACAAACACAGAACAAACGGAAAATAGCCCCACCAAGTCACAATCCAAGAGCAGAGCAAGAGACAAGAAATGAATACAGAAAGGGTCTGAACCATATCGCGCCAGACAAAGTAGTACTGATGGGGTCTACCCTGAAATTGTGCAATGAATGAGTCATTGCCAAACAGTTTATGAGTTTATTACCAAAGCAGTGATTTTCAACCAGGGGGCCATGGCATCTTGGGGTGTTGCCATGTCCTTTGTGAGGGTGTTGTGAGGTGTGGCGTGGGCAACACACTTCAGGAAGGATGTGGAGAAGCTTGGGGGAGCCCAGAGAAGAGCCACTCATACAATTAGAGGCCTGAAGAGCAAGCCATACAAGGAAAGGCTGACAGATATGGGCCTGTTCAGCCTAGAAGAGAAAAGACTCTGGGGGGATTTGGTGGCAGCTTACCAATATATCAGGGGAAAGCATCAGGGGCTAGGTGAACAACTATTCATCAAAGCACCCCAGGGGAAACCAAGAGAAATGGTCATAAACTCCTAGAAGGTTTCAGACTGGATATAAGGAAAAAATTCTTCATGGTTTGTGTGACCAGACTCTGGAATAGACTCCCAGCACGGGTGGTGCAGGCACCTACCCTGGAGATCATCAAAAGGAGATGGGACTCACACCTTGCTGGGGTTATCTAACCCCAGCAGTTTTCCTGCCCAGAGCAGGGTGGCTGGACCCAATGATCTCACGAGGTCCCTTCCAGCCCTAAACTTGTGTGAATCTGTGAGGGAATAAACAGATAAGCACTGGCTCAGACCCTGCCTAGCTAATCTCCCCACCCTAACTGCCTGGCCACTACAAAGAGATAAGTACTCTAATATATACCGGTTTTTTTTTAAATAGGGTGCCACTCAATTCACAAAGAGTATGGAGGGGTGCTCAAGTCCAAAAATGGTGTTGAGAACCACTGTACTAAGGTTTCAGTTGTTACCAGTACCAATATCCAGTTTCTTAGTACAGCCTTCCTTGCTGCTTCAGTTCCATTTTGAAACTTCACTGTTTCAAGTTGCCTTCTGCTTGGTACTGGAACAGAAACCAATACTTAGAAGTCTATTTAGAGATGCCTTCCTTCCTTCTGTGGGTACAGGAGTAATTGACAGTTCCTGTGGTGTCTTAAATCGTCTCATTAGAGCCTCTAGATAAGAATCAAGCTCGCCTAAGACTTCAGGCTCCTGGTCTGGTGTCAGAGCGCGGAAGTGTGGTTTCAGTGCAGAGTCAGTGGCCTGAATCTACCATGAAATTTAACTTTCCATGAGATAAAACTTGACTTGGGACTTCCAAATCTGCTTCTTTTTTTAATGATTTACAAAATGCACATTTTGAAGTGATATGACCTTCTCCTAAACAATACCAGTATTTATTGTGCTCATCATTTGAGAATTAATTCGTCATGTGATAGACAGGATTTAAAATCTAGTGACCTGAATTTAGTTGTAATCCAAAATGCTAGTACTAGATCTAAACCTTCAAAATTAATTAAGTTTAAGGGTACAAGTAGTCTATAATAAAATCAGTATTTTATAGTCAAAACTAACAACTAGTAATTACAGCAACTACAGTAGAAAGTATCAGATTGAGCTATGCTAATACTGCTGAGGCTAGTGCGTCAGACCCAAGACCTCTTGTGTGTATATTGACAACATTTTATAGAAGCAGGACATCAGCAGCCATGGTTCCCCTGCTTTACCTGTGACAAGTTAGGGTGTTAGATCTATGTTGTGTCAGGGATGAGGGTAGTCTTATATAGACTTCAGATTTTGGATAAGGACTCACCGAATTCAAGGTGGCTATAGGCCTGTTTTGCTGGGAAAACAAGGGCCCAGCAGTCATTTTTCTGGGCGGAGTAATTTCTGATTGGCTGAGGGGCCTGAGGGCCCACCCCTTGCCACTGATTGGCTGTGAAGGCAATGCAGCCCCACCTTGCTGCCAATTGGTGGACAGGGGCAGGGCCGTATGATGGGCAGGTCTTGCAGACGATGAGCAGCAAGAGGCACTGGGGGGTGTCAGTCACCTTGGGCTGCCCATTGTGCCAGCGGTCCCACTTCCCCCTTTCAGCCTCAGTGGGGAGCCAGCATTTTATTTTCAGAAAGTTTTCTCTTCTTTTTCTTTCTGTGGATTGTGTGGGCATTGCCTGATTTCACAGGAAATGCTGGATTTTGCAAAATCCACAAAATCGTTATTGTGGTAGGTCCCTAATTATGGATCATGCAGGATGGTTTGGATAGGGATGATCCTGCCTAAGGCAGGGGATTGGACTAGATGACCTCTGGAGGTCCCTTCCAGCCCAACTTCTCTCTGACATTCTCTTAAGAGCTACTAATTATTTAACTTTCATAGTTTCATAATTTCATAGTTGGTCGGGTCAGAAGGGACCTAAGCAGATCATCAAGTCTGACCCCTGCCATGGCAGGAAAGAGTACTGGGGTCAAACGACCCCAGCAAGTTGTTCATCCAGCCTCCTCTTAAAGACCCCCAGGGTTAGAGCCAGTACCACTTTTCTTGGAAGTTGATTCCAGATCCTAGCTGCCCTGACAGTGAAGTCGCGCCTCCTGATGTCTAGTCTGAATCTACCCTCTGCCAGCTTGTGACCATTACTTCTTGTCACTCCTGGTCATGTTCGGGGGAACAGGGACTCCCCCAATGCCTGCTGGTCCCCTCTGACTAGTTTGTAACAGGCCACTAGATCCCCCCTCAGCCTTTTCTTGTGGAGGCTGAACAAGTTCAGGTCCCTTAGCTTCTCCTCGTAGGGCCTGCCCTGCTGACCCCTGATCACGTGGGTGGCCTCCTCTGGACCCTCTCGATGTTGTCCACATCCCTCTTGAAGTGCGGCGCCCAAAACTGGACGCAGTACTCCAGCTGCGGCCTGACCAGTGCCGCATAGAGGGGGAGGATCACCTCCTTGGACCTGCTTGAGGTGCATCTACGGATTTCAATTTATTTAAAAGATACTACTAAAATACCTGCTGTTGTAATTCAGTGGTAGAATCCATGTCTGCCACACAGAAGACCTGGGTTTGATTCCTGATGTGTACATAACTACTGCCATCAAGGCACCGAATGTCTAGACTCAGCCTGGCCTTTGGATTCTGTCTCAATGGCCTAAAG